GCCGCCGCCAGGAGACCCCCGGGGCTGCTCCGTTCACACCTCAACCGCACACCGGGCCGGGCCGTCCGCCCCGCGCTGGCCCTTCACGAGAGGAAGTGGCCGGAGCTGGCTTCCGGCCGGGCGCTGCGCGGGAACTGTCCGGCTGGGAAGCGCGGCGTCGCGGCCATTGGTTCTGACGGCCCAGACTGCGGCCGCAGCGCGCCCACCGTCTGCAGCTCAGTCCCAAGACGGCCGCGCCCTCCAGCCCCGCGCCAGTCCTCCAGCTCTGCGGCCCCTCAGGCCTCTTGGCTGAAGCTGCGCCCTCTTCCAAGTTTGCCCTTCCGGCCCGCGCTCGCAGCACCCGTGCCCCTGACGCCCGGGAAAGGAGACCCTCCTGCGCGCCACCCTCCTTCCCGGCTTGTCTGCAGCCCTGTCCGTCTTCAGACTGAGCTCCAGGCTGAGACGCCCAGGTCGATAACGTGTCCCCGCCCAGTGATACAAAGGTCGCAAACTCAGGTATCCGTAAGGGGCCAGCGAGATCTTGACAATGAGCGAAGGAGCAGACGCAGGCCTGTCTAGATTGAGGCTGAAGCTCCGCCGAGCTGATCTTTGCCATATGGGAAAGGGCCAGTGCTTCCACATTCTGAGAACAGTGAACTCAAGAGTTCAATATGGATGTGCCATCCTAGTGGTCTAGTGGTTAGGATTTCAGACTCTCAACATGGAACTCCCCAACCTGCCGTTCAAATGTGTAACCCAGCCAGCCGTGGTGGCTCACGGCCTGTAACCAGCACTTTGGGAGGCGAGGCAGGGATTGCCTGAACACAGAGGTTCAGGACCAGCCTGGGCAAATTGGTGAAACCTCGTCTCTGCAATAAATCAAAAAGCTGGGCGTGGTGGTAGCACGCCTGTGGTTCCAGCTATTTGGAAGGCGGGGGCAGAAGGATTGCCTAAGCCCAGCAGGTGGAGGCTGCAGTGGCTGTGGGCATGCCACTGCACTCCAGCCTGGGTGGCAGAGTGAGACTCCAACTCAAAACAAAACAAACAAAAAATAATGACAGCAGCAAGGCCAAGTACAGTGGCTCACGCCTGTCATCCCAACGCTTTGGGAGGCCAAGGCAGGAGGGCTGCATGAGCCCAGGAGTTCGAGACCAGCTGGGGCAACATAGCAAGACCTCATTTCTACAAAAAAATAAAATAAAATAAAATAAATTAGCTGGGCATGGTAGTGCATGCCTGTAATCCCAGATCCTCGGGAGGCTGAGGCAGAAAGATCACCTGAGCCCAGGAGGTGCTGTTAATCGTGCCACTGCGCTCTGGCTTGGGCAACAGAGTGAGATCCCAACTCAAAAAGTAAAAAATGACAGCAGCAAACATAGAGGGCAGTTACAGGGTGCTTTTTACATGTGGTGCATTTAAATTCTCACAACAGCTCTTGGGGATAGGGGCTTTCCAGATGAGGAAACCAAGGTGCCAGGTGGCTCACCTTAGCAATGCAGCTGGAGGCAGCAGAACCGGAATCTGAACCCAGGCAATCTGGCTCCAGTCCATGCTCTTAGCCCTCTGCAACAAGCTCTGACAGCCACCTGGAAGACGCTACTGGTGGCCCTCCTGAATCTTCCAGCGCTGGTGTTGGAGAGTGGTGCACTTGTGCCCTTCTCTGGAGGCTTCCCTTGGCTAGTGGCAATGGGGCTGGTGAGTTGCTCAGCCCTCCCTGTCCACCCCACCTGCAGCCACAGACTGATGCCGGGGCCACACTGTAGCACTGAGGACTGATGCTCCAGAGCCCCCTGCGAGCCTGGCTGAGGCTGGACTTTGGCTGACGCCACATTCTTGCCCATTGCTCCCTGTCCTCCCCTGCTTCCTTCCCCACTTCTGAGGCCACTCCCTTGACAAAGCCCCATGTCAGACTCTGCTTCCAACCTGAACTGGGACTAGCCCAAAGAATGACCCAGAAGCCACATGTCCCTTTGAAACGAGGTGCAGTGGGCTGCAGAGAGTTTATTTCTGTCCCTTCCAGCCCAAGGTGACAGAGGCTCTGTCACCCCCATACAAGGCCAAACAGGCTCAGGTCAGCACACACACATCCACTGTGGTGGGTTCCTCTCTGGTGAAGCCATCCCCAAAGCCCTCGTCATCCACCAGGTCGGGCTCCCGGCAGCACATGGGACAGAGGCGGTTGCGCACAGCAGAGGCGCGGAGCCAGACCACGAGGTTCCAGCGCTCACCAGTGTTCAGGGGCCGGGCCCCATGCAGCTGGCCGCCCCGGTGCAGGACGCCATGGCCCACTGTGTGCTCCACCTCCAGGGGCTCCATCAGGTCTGCAGGCGCCTGCAGACAGCGGGGCTCAGGCCTGGGCACTCGGGGCTCCCTGAGTCTTGCCCTGTGGGTCACACACTCACCTGGAAGAGGCCCCCGAAGTACAGGGCACCCCCCGTGAAGGCCTTGCCCAGGGCCACGTTGAGGGTGAGCTCGGCATTGTCGTAGTGGCAGCCCAGCTCCCGGTCCTGACCTGGTGCGTATTTGACCACAAAGGCCCGGTGGCTGTCAAGCTGGCCCCCGCCACAGTCTGGGTATAGCAGGGCCATCAGTGGCTGCAGGAAACGCTCCCGCAGCGGCGTCACCAGTGGCTCGTCCAGCCCCAGCTCATGCAGCAGCACCTGGGGGGATGCCCGGAGTCGGCAGAGAGACTGGTGGGCCTCGCCCCGCACCCAGGGGGTCCCTTGGGGCATGCCCGGCAGTGCCGACTCCTTCGCAAGCACCCCCTTGTGCAACTTGGTGGTATCCCACCGCAACCTCCTTCCACAGCTGGGCAGGCAGCTTGGACACAGCACCTCGCCGTGGCCACCTGACCCCAGCGGCCCCTCCTGGCCCTGTTGGGCCAGGCCGAGCCTCACCCACCCCGTAGTTGTTCATGGTGTTTGGCCTCCCCTTGGGCATGTCCGACTGCTCGAAGTGCTCCAGCTCCTCCAGCAGGGCCTGGCAGAACGGTGCGGTGAACA